ACAATTAATGAAACTACGAAAGTATGAAACATTCAAAGCCAATTAAGGATCTCAACAAGCACCAACTATTTTATTAAGGGAGGCAAGAAATGAGTTACCTGTGAGCCCCAACCGATCACTCCAATCTGCTTTATACCCTTGAACGCATCTGGCAACATTTTAAACAAGTTTCTTCCTCCTCTTACAATGAACTGCATACAAGACAAATAGCACTATTACATAAAATTCCAAATAACCTAGGAATTACTAGAAATATGAAAGAAAGACACAGTTTTTTTCGGGTTGATTTGTCACAATATCTCACTAAACATCCCAACACTGTCATCTTTCACCTGTAACATGAACCATTTTATCCAAAACCATAGTCATTCGTCTTGAAAAGTAAGTATCCAGTAACAATAAGCAACAAAGTAAATGAGAACTCAAGCATAGCTAAAACAATCAAAGGAATTACAGACCACCAACAACATTTAACCACCAAACGGAGCAGTCCAAAGCTAATATACAAACTTTCAAACCTTCGTGAACAGTAAAGTAAGCATAAGATCAGGTTTTGTGCTTAAGCTTAATAAATCATAATTGTATCAAAATCCATGAATGTAATTTCATGATTTCATCAATAAAGATCAATCTTTGATAGCCTAAAGACACTGTTGAACAAGGCACCTCATCGTGACCGGCTAGGTTGATTTTCTCCTTTGTGAACAGAGATGTGTCGAAATCCAGGGATGCCGGGGGCTTGATGGCGGGGGTCGAAACCATGCGAACCGCCATAGCAGATCCAGAGGCGGGAGCGGCGCGGGAACCAGCGGCAACCCACAGCAGCTTAGGAGAAAAGGAGGATGATAGGAAGCTCAAGGATCTTGTCGGCACTCGAGCAGGATGTGTTAAGGCTTTGGATGAGGAGGCCGTAGCGGAGGTAGAGAAATTGGTAGGGGCAGCCGCCGCCATGGAGCTGTGGCTTTTCGAGTTGGTAAGGGCCTTCTGAAAATGTGTTAAAATTGAGCTCAGTGATAGGGTTCCGCAGCTGGAAGTGTATTATATAGTGGAAAGTGGATTAGAGTAAGCTAAGTGGGGACCTTAGTCTATGTTTGGTTGAGTGATTTTAACACGGAGACAAGGAAGGAAAGGGGAGACAAAAGCTACTTTTTGATTGAAGGATTTATGAGGGTTCTAGAAATCGTTAGGCGCCCGCTAGTAGGGTTGTAAACGAATCGAATCAAAGCGAATATTCAGAGATTCGATTCGATTCGTTTAAAATATTCGAAGATTCGATTCGTGATTCGATTCGATAACGAATTCATTTTTTGATTCGTTTTCGATTCGTTTAGAATATTCGACCATATTCGATTCGATTCGAAATTAGTTTTAAAAAAAATATATTATAATTAAAAAATATTATAATTACAAAAATAAATTTTATTTTTCATATATTTTTAGAAAGTTTTGTTAATTTATGATGTTTTTATTTTTATGTCATAAAAATATTAGGAATATAACAATATATATAGCTATATACATATATTATAAACAAAATGTATATTATATATAATTTGTATAAAAATATTATAATTAAAAAATATTATAATTACAAAAATAAATTTTATTTTTCATATATTTTTAGAAAAATTGTTAATTTATGATGTTTTTACTTTTTATGTCATAAAAATATTAGGAATATAACAATATATATATACATATATTATAAACAAAATATATATTATATATAATTTGTAAAATTTATATAATTATTGTTAACGAATCGAATATTCGAATTTCGAATCGAATATCTACACATTCGGATTCGAATTCGTTATAATTTCGAATCTAAAACATCATTCGAATTCGAATTCGAATTCAAATATTTCGAATTCGAATCACGAATATCGAATTCGAATCACGAATCGAATAAAAAATGTTTGATTTGTTTACAACCTTACCCGCTAGGCGCCCGACCAGCGTCTAACGCCTAGAGCGCCTAGTCGGGGCCTAGGTGGCGCGTAGGCGGGGCTTAGAAATTATAATAAATATATTATTTTTTATTTATTTTTACAATTTCACTAATAAAATTATAACTTATAATTAATAAATCCATACACCTAAGTCCCAATAATATTATTAAT